GTATATTGGTAATATCTGCGTTTTTAGCCAGACCTGGGAGGACCATGTGTCCTAGGTTAAACAAGTGGTGGACCGGCTCCGGGATGCAGGTCTGACTATAAAAGCTGGGAAGTGCAAGGTTGAGATGTCAGAGGTGTTATACCTGGGTCACAAAGTGGGGAGCGGCTGCCTAAAGCCAGAGCCAGCCAAGGTGAAGGTGATCAGAGATTGGCCCGCTCCCCAGACTGAGAAGCAGGTCCAGGCTTTCATTGGGATAGCAGGCTACTACCAGGGGTTCATGCCCCACTTTAGCTCCATAGCCGCCCCCATCACTGAGCTATGTAAGAAGGGTAAGCCAGATAAGGTGGTCTGGACCAAGCAGTGCCAGAGGGCTCTCTGTCCTCTGAAGGAGGCTCTGAACAAGGGCCCGGTGCTAGTAAACCCAGACTATGGTGTTCACCGACACCTCAGACACAGGGCTGGGTGCAGTGCTAATGCAGGTTGATGGAAAGGGGGAAAGACACCCCATTGTGTACCTGAGCAAGAAGCTGCAGCCCCGGGAGCAGAACTATGCAGCCATAGAAAAGGAATGTCTGGCAATGGTATGGACCCTTAAAAAGCTGCAGCCATATCTATTTGCAGCCATATCAAGTTGCAGTGGGGGAGGTTTAGATTGGATATTAGGAAAAACTTTTTCACTAAGAGGGTGGTGAAACACTGGAATGCGTTACCTAGGGAGGTGGTAGAATCTCCTTCCTTAGAGGTTTTTAAGGTCAGGCTTGACAAAGCCCTGGCTGGGATGATTTAACTGGGAATTGGTCCTGCTTCGAGCAGGGGGTTGGACTAGATGACCTTCAGGGGTCCCTTCCAACCCTGATATTCTATGATTTGGGCAGTGCTTCACCATGTACACCAACCATTCCCCCTGACGTGGCTACACCAGATGAAAGGGGCCAATGCCAAACTCCTGAGGTGGAGTCTTCAGCTTCAGGATTATGACATGGAGGTGGTCCACGTTAAGGGGAGTGCCAATGTTATAGCCGATGCTTTGTCCTGGAGAGGGGGGCCGGAACTTCCCCGGGCCACTGGCTAAAGTGGCCCCGCTCAGTTCAGTCTTGGAGGGGGGACAGATGTGATGAAGTGGGGTTTTATTCATCTTGTTATGTTGCATGTGAGTTTTACTGTCCTATACTAATACTGTGCGTACCTTAGTTTCCTAGTGTACTGCACCAATACTTAGCTGGTGGGAGTTGGGTGTGTGATTTTGCAGAGGCCCTCAGGGCAGGTGAGACTGCCCAGCTATTTTTACTTATGTAACCTGAGACCCAGGAGGTGGGGTGCAACCAGGTGACACCTTTGGCCCAGGAAGTGAGACAAAGAGAAGGAGGAGGGTCATCAAGGGGATGTTGGAGGTTGGGTGGCTGGAGGCTGGCAGTCTGCGTGGGGGCACTGGAAGAGGGGAAATCCCTTGGCTGAAAGTCACTGATGTCTGTAAGAGCAAGCTCTGTTCTATGCTGTGTTCCTGTCAACAAATAAACTTTCGTTTTATGCTGGCTGAGACTCATGTCTGACTGTGGAGTTGGGGTGCAGGGCCCTCTGGCTTCCCCAGGAGCCCTGCCTGTGTGGACTTGCTGTGGGAAGCACACGGTGTGAAAAGGGGATGCTGAATGCTCCGAGGTCAGACCCAGGAAGGTCGAAGCTGTGTAAGCTTCTTGCCCTGGAAACAGTATGCTCAGAGAGAGGAGGCATTCTCCCCCAGAGTCCTGACCATACTGGCTTTGTATGGAGTAGTTCCAGAGCATCGCCCTGTGACTCCGTGACACCAGGGTAAGTGACTGGTCCTTTGGGACTGTATATAACCTGAATATTGCTGTGATCTTTGGTGTAAGGGACCATCTGTCACAAAGGCAGGCTCTGGGTGGCAAGATCGATCAGAGTACTCAAGGGGACTGTCTGTAACTCCATGTTAAGGCTATAGTGCTTGAGGAGTTCACACTTGAGTGGTAAAATCTAAGTATAGAACTCATAACCAATTTGGGGTTTGTGCCCTTTTTCTTAAGTCTTCCCTGAGGTTGGTACTCATGGTCTTGAGTCACAGTTTGAGAAGCACTACAAGCCCCTCACCTCTCCACTGCAAAGGGACCCTGCACTGTGTTTACCAACCGCCAGACCATATCCTTCTCCTGTTCCCTTTTCCCCCAGCTTGTGCAGCGTGGTTTAGTGCAGGGAGAACCCAGACTCCAGGGATGGTAAAAAAAATTGTAATCTGTCAAAGAAGAAAGGACTGCTGTGACTAACTTTTCTACAGACAACAAAAGTTTTCTACGACTGTTCTGTCCCCTTCTTTCTTGAACCTAACTCCCCAGCTCTGTTCTGCTCCTACTTGTAAAGGGGCAGTAAGATCAGTGGGGTGGGAGAAGCACTGAAACTGTGTAATCTTCCAGGGGACAAAAGACAGCTGTGACTAACTTTAGACAACCAACTATAAGTTTTCTACAACTTTCCCTTCCCCAGTCAGGAGCTGTGTAACCCACCCACTCCCATCCCCCCCGTCTGCTCAACCCTGGGACCATTGCAACCTGACCACTGGCTGAGAAACACACAGACACAGGGGCAATGTTTTTTCTTAATAATCTCTTTTTAAGAAATACTTTTAGCCAAATGCATAATAGTGGTTTATCAGAAATGAGTAAAATCATTGATTGATAACTGTCAGGTTGGAGTGGGAGGGGGGGCCTGGATGGAGGAGAGAAAGTTGGAAGTTTTTTGTCAGAGGCCAGGGCATGACATTGCCATGATTTCAGCATGACAGTTAAAACTTGCAGACATAGTAATGCATGGCATAGTATCCATGGAGGAAAAGTCAGTGCACAGTACTGCAAATGCCTTTGATCTTAAAATCAGGATTGCAGCAGTGGAGTGAGAGGGGAGATTCGTGAAGAGGGTGGAGGGCTGTTGTACCTTACCAGCCTGGGGTTCTTGTTCCTGCCACCATGCAGGGTCATCTTCGGGTTGATTGCGGGGGCTTTCTTAAGTGACTCATCCAGGTAGGGCGCAGAACAACATGCTCCTTGTGTGCTGGGTCTTCCAGGGCATCCTCTGTGGTCCCTGCTGCTTCCTTGCACTTGCGCTTACTAGCATCCTGACAGACAATGAGGCTGGGGAGATTGGAGAGGGGATTGTGAGCCACTCCAGACTCTGTACTGGGAGCCCATGGCAGCATCCAGTCAATCTCCTTATAGAAGAGGCATGTACAGTGAACCCTCCTGGGGTGACTGTTCGAGTCTTTAGCCCTTTTGCATTTGAACTCAAGAGCTTGATACGTTCCAGGCACTAGGCTGAATGCCCTCCTCTCCTACTTCCATGACATTTCCTGGTACAGGTGCATGTTCCTGCCACTCCTGGCGACATTGTGGAAGATGATGTACTACGATCACATGTTGATTGACAACCAGGTGTGGTCATTGGACCAAGTGGCTGCTCTTGGAGCAGGATCCATTTTCACCTGTATTGATCTGTAAAGAGTGCACCGGGAAGCTGTTCTGATGTGGTCAGTGCAGCTCACTACTACTGGTGAAAATGGGGGGACCAGGACCTTTATAGATTGGATAAAGATCAGGAAGAAAAGAGTTCAGTGCACTGTGGGAATGGGGGTGGAGGACTTTTACCCCATCCATACTGCAAATTGGCACTCGTATGGAGCTATGCAACAGCCTCCAGTGTGTACTTACCCACACCCCTCAATGGTGCTAGCTTTATACTTGCCTTTTACTCGCCTTCAGACATGATTGTCAGGTTTAGGTGTGGACCATGGGGTTATGGCACAACCCCACTTGCATGTACCCATGTACAGTTGCTCGTGCAGACATACCAACTATCTGAACAGGATTAAGGAGTTTCATAAATCACTTAGATTATTGTAGCACATGAGGGTAGTACAAGGGGTCAGTAAAGTTCCACACAGAATCCTTCCAAGGAGATTACATTTTGCTCTCTTGCTAAGAAGTAGCTGGGATCCCAGTACTAGAAAGAGTTAGAGAACATGCCACCAGACTGCATGCTTTCAAAATGCCTCCACTTCTGAGACATGCAAGGTCTGGAGTTCCAGCCACACACGCCCCTGGCCAAGCTCACCAGATTTAGCCTCTAGGACCTAAACCAACCTGCAGTCTTAACTCTCAACTGAGACTCCTAAACCTCGCCTTGTTGGAGCCTGGCTAATCCCCAGAAGGAGGGATTCCTGCAGGCTATGCTTGAAGTAAGAACAGTTACTTACCCAGTAATTGTGGTTCTCTGACATGAGTCATCTGCATGGATCTATGCTCCCTTCCCTCCTTTTCTACTAGTTTGGAGTTTTACCAAAGTGGTGATTCTGTGGCAGGCACCTAGTGGCATTTGGGGCTCTGCTCCCTCATATGTATCTTTGGATAGGGAGGACGTAGCAAGATATAGGAATGGTGTACGCCAGCCTCAGAGACACTGCTTCCCAGAAAGTTCAGAGCTTGTGCGTTGTGTGGAGCACTCCATGCTGGCAGCGTTCAAACACGCACAGCTACTGTATAAGTGACAGTCTGTAGGGCTTGGGGTAATAGCTCGTGGTCAGGACTCCTCCATGTTCATGCGCACATGTGGCTCTTTGCCCAGGGCTGTGGAGTATAAGAGAGTAACATGGGTGTTAGTGCAGTGGTTTTATTGCAAAGTAAAGGCTATTTACCTCCAAGCACCCTGCTTCGGAGCCTTTTGCCTTTTTTTTTATACACTTGTGGCTTCCCCATTTTTGCCATGACAGAGGTCCAGGTTTATCCTCTCGGGACAGCCCCTTCCCCTTCCGGGGGCTGTGCAGCAGGTAGGATGTTTTCCTCTCCAGTCTACTGGTGAACATCTTGCCTGTGGCACCGGAGACGATTGTTTGACATCCCACAGGGAGTGAGTCCCTAGGCAACACATACCATGGTGATGGGCATGATCTATAATAAAGACAGATAATCCCTAGTGATTTGTGTTATGTGGTTTTGCTGCAGGCACAGGCCTACCTTGGGGTGCTCTACATGAAAGGGCTGCAGTCTGCAAAACAGAGGGCTCTGAAATACCTGTGGCTGGCGGTGAAGAATGGGGTAAGTGCTTTCTCTGCCAATAGAAGGCGATAATTGCTCTGGTCGTGGGCTTGCTGGGCCTTCTCAGTTGGGCTCAAAGTCCAGGAGCCAGGATTGCTGGAAGTGAGATTCTCTCTAAATGTTTGCAGTGTTGTTGTAGCTGTGTTGGTCCCAGGATATTAGAGAGATGAGGTGGGTGAGGCAATATCTTTTATTGGACTAACTTCTGTTGGTAGAAGGGACCAGCTTTTGAGCATCACAGAGCTTTTCCTCCAATAAGGAAAAGGTAACCAGAGTGTCCATGCTAAATACAAGATGGTACAGATGGTTAAGTGTAAGTTGTTCACACATGCTGTAGGAGACCACTTAAAATGAAGTGGGCAGTTAAGGGTTAGCCGGCAGTAGGGTGTGTTACCAATTGTTGGAATGAACTATAAAAAAACAGTGTCTCTAGACATGTCTACACTACAACATCCACAATAATTAAAGCAGTGGTTCATGCCCACATGTACTCCTTCTGTCGGTGGTGTCCGTCCTCACCAGGAGCACTTCCATGCACTAAAGTGGGGCAGTATGGGGCACGCACAGCTGGAGCCCCATCACCCTGGGGCTGACAGCCTGAGCTCACAGCTGGAGCCTCTCCCATCTCACCCTGTGGGTGACAGCCCTTTCCTCATTGCGGAATCCCAAGCCTAGGCTCCAGCCCGAGCCCGAATGTCTACACTGCAATTGAACAGCCCCATAGCCTGAGCCCTGCGAATCCAAGTCAGCTGACCCAGGCCAGCCATAGGTGTTCAGTTGCAGCATAGACATACCCAGTAAATAGCCCTTTGTTCTTGCATTAGGAGAGGATAAACAGAGCTCCAGGGATCATCTCTAGCACACTGGTTCTTCTGTAGGTCTCTGTCATGTCCCTTCTTACACAACTCTCAGTACTAAGGAGTTCTTCTTTTTCCAGCCCGTCTCTGCAGGGCCCATTTCTAGGTCCCCTCTCTTCCTTCTAGATCTCTGGGATGGGCGTCCGAGGGGAATCCTCTGTGTTTTAAATCTTTTTATTTTCCCTGTAAAGTTACCTTCTATCCTGATTTTGCAGGTGTGATTCTCTTACTTTTTTTTTTTTTTACAAATAAAATTCTTCTTTTAAGAATCTGATTGATTTTCAGTGTCCTAAAAACCAGGGGGTTTGGTCTGTGTTCACATTGTAACCAAATGGTTAGTATATTACTCTCAAGCCTCCCCAGGAAAGGGGGTGAAGGGGTTTGGGGGAATATTTTATGGGAATAGGGACTCCAAGTGACCCTTTTCCTGAATTTTTGTCTAAATCACTTGGTGGCAGCAGCAATACCGTCCAAGGACAAGGGAAGGATTTGTGCCTTAAGGAAGTTTTTAACCTAAGCTGGTAGAAGTAAGCTTAGGGGGTCTTTCATGCGGGTCCCCACATCTGTACCCCAGAGTTCAGAGTGTGGAGGGAACCCTGACATGGTGGAAAGGTGGGATCATTTTGAACCAGAAGCATAGACCTCAGGATTTTAAAAGAACACTTTTCTTTTCTTTTCTTTTCTTTTTCTTTTTTTGGCTGCTTGAAAACCAGGGAGATTTTTTTTTTTAAAAGGACACTTTTTTTTCCCTTAAAAGAAGAATTTTATTTGTTTAAAAAAAAAAAAAGTAAGAGAATCACACCTGCAAAATCAGGATGGAAGGTAACTTTACAGGGTAAATAAAAAAAGATTTAAAACATAGAGGATTCCCCTCTGACTCTGCTTCCCAGTTACAAAACAGGAATGAAAATACCTCTTAGCATAGGGAAAATTCGCAAGGTAAAAGAAAAGATAATCTAACGTATTTCCTTGCCCTTACTTACAATTTTTATAATTTTAGATGGATCATTTCCGGTATGTTTTTAGGAGATGTTTTACCTGCTTGGTCTCTCTCTCTCTGTCAAGAGAGGGCACCAAAAATCGGGCACAAACAAACCCCCCCTTCCGCCCCAGATTTGAAAGTATCTTCTTTCCTTATTGGTCCTTTTGGTCAGGTGCCAACCAGGTTATCTGAGCTTCTTAACCCCTTACAGGTAAAGTGATTCAGTACATCTGGCCAGGAGGGATTTTATGTTAGTGCCTACATAAAGGTTGTTACCCTTCCCTTTATATTTATGACAAGGCTTGACTGAGCAATAGTGTGGTTGTCCATTGTGTGGCTGGCAGGCAAGCTATAGTGCTTAGGTCGCCAATGGGGAGCTGTGGCTGCTGAGTCAGAGCTGTGTGCCAGTCTCTACAGCTTTACAGGACTTTGTAAATCCGCACAATTCAGTGTGTCCTCTGTGCAGGAGGCAAGGTGTCCTGTGGGACAAGCACCCTTTGTGTGTGACCGTGCATTAATGATTGCTCTGCTTATGGACAAGGGGGCATACATAGGGCTGCACATGCCCCGTTAGCTCTAGTATCCCAATTTCTGGGTGCTTCCCTGTGCAATCAGAATGTTTGCTTGAGCCAAGTGTTTGGTTTGTTCCTTCAGCATAGGCCTAGAAGTTGGGGGGAGGAATCAAATTATTTAGCAAGGGTTGGTAAAAGGAACAGACTGTGGAGGTGTCGGATAGAAAGTCTTTCTCAAGAGATCCTCAGAGGAGTAAGTAAAAGACTGTAAGTAACAGTCTAGGAGAGCCTGGGTGAATGATAGAGGAGCAAAGAGAAGTCTCAAGACTTGGACTCTCCTGTGTTTATTAAAGCTTGTCAGATCCTCTTTCATGTAGTCTGATCCTGTAGTAGATCTTATATTGCTTTTCTGAAATTTTGGTTGAAGGTCTGTACTCATCCAGATTATAGATTGCCCTATCTTTGTTCCTCCATATTTCCATGGTATAAGATCTTCCAATTTATTATAGCTAGGTTGGGGTTTTCTATTACTCACTGTAATAGCGTGGCACCCACCTTTCACAAGCGCCCCTTCTGGTTGGGTGTGTCTGCAGTCTTTAAACCAGTCCCAGCCCTGGTATTGGGCCATACCCCCAGGGCTTCCTCCCTGAAGGCAATGGTTTCACCCTCTTGGTCTACTTTGGCCCCAGCTCTCCAGCCGGGCCACTAAGTAGTTCCTCTTCTGGTGGTTTCTCATTGTCTGATTGTCGGCCTGTTTCCCAGTGGCCTATCGGGAGCAGAGGGACCTGGGCCCACCCATTACTCCAGGTCCCAGCCTAGAGACCCTAAGAATAGCAACCACGCATTGCCATGGCCCTTTAACTATGTTGGTTTCAGTTCCCTGGGCCACTTCGCCATGGCCCCAGCCTTTACAAAAGCTTCACCCTTAGCTCAGGGCTCTTTTATATTCAGGCCCAGCAGCCAGCCAATGTTCTTCCTTGCTCCCCAGGTCCCTGCCAGCACTGAGCTGTCTGTGGTACTGCAGTTCCCTTTGGCCAGCCAGGAGTGCCATCTGCATTCATCTAGCTCCAGCAAGGAAGTGCCTGTCTCTGGCTCTGCAGCTCCTTTTATATGGCACTCCTGGGCCCCGATTAGCTGCTCCCTGCAGCATCTCTCATTGGCTGCTTCCTGCGCTGTCCCTCTAGCCCGTTTGGAGGGCCTCTTTACTGCTCCTTTCCTGGGATGGGCGTGTCCACCCTGTCACACTCAGTTATTGTTGATATCTTTTAATCAACATAATCATATATGGATGGGTGGGTAGATGGATTTGGGAGAGTATATGCTCAACAAGAGAGTGACAGATATTACCCAATAAGATGATCTAGTATGAGTCATGATTCTTAGTTTGCCTTTTGGTTTTCTATTTTGAAGACAGTCACTGCTTTTTAACCATATTTGAATGAATTATCTAATCCTCATTTACATAATTCATATAGAATCATAGACTATTAGGGTTGGAAGAGACCTCAGGAGGTCATCTAGTCCAATCCCCTGCTCAAAGAAGGACCAACACCAACTAAATCATCTCAGCCATGGCTTTGTCAAGTCAGGCCTTAAAAACCTCTAAGGATGGAAATTCCACCACCTCCCTAGGTAACCCATTCCAATGCTTCATCGCCCTCCTAGTGAAATAGTTTTTTTCCTAATATCCATCCTAGACCTCCCCCACTGCAACTTGAGACCATTGCTCCTTGTTCTATCATCTGCCAACATGGAGAACAGCGTAGCTCCATCCTCTTTGGAGTCCCCCTTCAGGTAGTTGAAGGCTGCTGTCAAATCCCCCCTCACTCTTCTCTTCTGCAGACTAAATAACCCCAGTTCCCTCAGCCTCTCCTTGTAAGTCATGTACCACAGCCCCCTAATAATTTTTGTTGCCCTCCGCTGGACTCTCTCCAATTTGTCCACATCCCTTCTGTAGTGGGGGGACCAAAACTGGACGCAATACTCCAGGTATGGCCTCATCAGTGTCGAATAGAGGGGAATAATCACTTTCCTCGATCTGCTGGCAATGCTGCTACTAATACAGCCCAATATTCTATTGGCCTTCTTGGCAACATGGGCACACTGCTGACTCGTATCTAGCTTCTCATCCACTGTAATCCCCAGGTCCTTTCCTGCAGAACTACTGCTTAGCTAGTCGGTCCCCAGCCTGTAGCAGTGCATGGGATGCTTCCTTCTTAAGTGCACTTGTCCTTATTGAACCTCATCAGATTTCTTTTGGCCCAGTCCTCCAATTTGTCTGGGTCATTCTGGACCCTATCCCTACCCTCCAGTGTATCTACCTCTCCCTGCAGCTTAGTGTCATCTACGAACTTGCTGAGGGTGCAATCTATCCCATCCTCCAGATCATTAATAAAGATGTTGCAAAACCGGCCCCAAGACCAACCCCTGGGGCACTTGGCTTGATACCAGCTGCCAACTAGACATTGTGCCGTTGATCACTACCCGTTGAGCCCAACAATCTAGCCAGCTTTCTATGCACCTTATAGTCTGTTCATCCAATCCATACTTTTTTAACTTGCTGGCAAGAATACTGTGGGAGACTGTATCAAAAGCTTTGCTAAAGTCTAGATATATCACATCCATTTCCATCGATTTCCCCATATCCACAGAGTCAGTTATCTCATCATAGAAGGCAATCAGGTTGGTCAGGCTTGACTTGCCTTGGTGAATCCATGTTGACTGTTCCTGATCACCTTCCTCTCCTCCAAGTACTTCAAAATGGATTCCTTGAGGACCTGCTCCATGATTTTGCCAGGGACTGAAGTGAGTCTGTAGTTCCCCAGGTTCTCTTTCTTCCCTTTTTTAAATTTGGGCACTATATTTGCCTTTTTCAAATCGTCCGGGACCTCCCCAGATTGCCACGAATTTTCAAAAATAATGGCCAGTGGCTCTGCCATCACATCAGCCAACTCCCTCAGCACCCTTGGATGCGTTAGATCTGGATCCATGGACTTGTGCATGTCCAGCTTTTCTAAATAGTCCTTAACCTGTTCTTTCACTACTGAGGGATGCTCACCTCCTCCCAGTACTGTGTTGCCCAGTGCAGCAGTCTGGGAGCTGACCTTGTCTGTGAAGACTGAGGCAAAAAAAGCATTGAGTACTTCAGCTTTTTCCACATCATGTGTCACTAGGTTGCCTCCCCCACTCAGTAAGGGTCCCACGCTTTCCCTGACCTTCTGCTTGTTGCTAACATACCTGTAGAAACCCTTCTTGTTACCCTTCACATCCCCTGCTAGCTTCAGCTCCAGTTGTGCTTTGGCCTTCCTATACTCAGTAAAGATCTCACACCATGGAAACTGCTGTCCTTAAAGGTAAATATGGAAAAGTCCCTTTATGTCTGTCTTTTTGCCCAAGTAAATCTGGAGTGTTGGAAGATTTACCTCATTATCTTTTGGACTGTAGAATTTTCCAGCTTTTGAAAGCACGCTGGATTTTACCTCTTTTGTACAATAAATCATTTTTATTACCATCTCAGAAGATAACGTTTTTAGTTAGCATTATCTTGAAGAAGAGAGGTTTTTTTAAGTTCTGATTGACATGTTATTGTGTTATATGGGTGTTGGTGTTGTTTTTAGATTGTGAATGTTTTTCTTTTTGTATTTGCCAAAGACGTATGTCATATCCATTGAATTGAAATAGTCTAGACTCCCCTCCTCCCTGACTGCTGTGTGTATATTACATCTAGGATTCCCAAAGCAGGTACCATGTTGGTGTTTGCTATGAGAAGGGCCTTGGAGTACAACAGAACTTCACAGAAGCAATGGAGCATTACCAGCACTCGGCTGCTGCGGGAAACAGACATGCTCAGGAGAGAGTGCGAGTTGTTGAGCAGGAGATGGCAGGTACTGCAGCATCAGAGGTTCAGGGCAAAAGGGACATTGGGCAGCACTTCTCTGTGGGGTGAAGCTCCTGTTGCCAGAGGCCAGGGCCCCATTAGGGGAAGCCCCTGTCACCAGAGGCCCTGACAGCGCTGTCGTGAGGGGAGACACCGCAGCTGTCGATGTTGCTACAGTAAGGGTCTCTCTCCTCTTGTTCTCCACCCTGCCCTGTGCTCACTGGCTGGTTGTTGAGGATTCTGAATGGTGGGATTGCTCACCTGCAACCCGAGGGTTTCAGTAATGTCTCCTCTTTGTGGGCTTGGCAGCCGCAGAGAGCACCCATCCAGCACCTTCTGGAATGAGAGCGTTCTCCTCCAGCCCCTGCCTCTGGGTCCTGGAGCAACTAGCAGAGCAGCGCCAGGCCTCTCCGATGGGACGTCGTGCTTTACCCCTGCCCCACTCCTGGAGCACAGGCAGTCTGCCAGGGGCTGACATCAGCTGACTGAGATGGAATCCAGCCCCGGAACACACGGCAAGTCTATCAGATTCTTCCCACCTGGACCACGGCCAGTGCTCTCTTCTCAGGGGATAGCAGTTGGCTAGTAGGTACCAATGGAAACAATCCCTTCCTGTGGAAATCATGCCAAAGAGGAGCAGTACCATCCTTCTGTAACTCCACCAGCCCTGGGGGAGAGGCAGCAGTGTGGAGGGGGTGGGGTGGTAGCGGAGGCGGGTGGGCTATGGTGTATGGAGAGGAGGGGGCAGTGCAAGTTCTCTAATGGAACAGGAATGATACAGATGCCTCCAGAGCAGTCTCCCTGTGCCCTACTGATACTACTCTGCACTACCTGGCCTAATTTCACGCTGCTCCAGCCAACCCCGGGCCCCAGGTCCTCCACTCTGACTTGGCCCAGGGGCCTGACCACATGCATTCACACAGCCCAACCCAGCTCAGCCTTCATGCTTTGTGAACTGGGCTAGCGCCTCACTGTCTCTGCTGGCCTGAAGGCCTTGCTGAGGCTCCCCCTCTGAACACCAATGCTGGAGCTGCACTTGGCTCTCTGGTCCATCCCCGACCTGCAATGTCTGGCACCATGTCATGACTTGCCACCAGGGCTGCAGGTCACACAGTGGCTCTGCACACACAAGTTGCAGCAATTTAATTATATCAGTTAAAAGCTGATTAAGTCAAATGGATGCTGATCTCTGCCTGTGCCTGTACATGTACCCACACAAGCTAAACTGATACAAGCAGGATTTAAGCTGTGTTAAGAGAATCTGCACACAAATTGCACTGGTTTAATTCAGTAGCAAATTCTCCCTGTAGTCAAACTGGTGCATCTCTGTGTGTAGGCCTGGCCTCACGACAGCAGCTATCCCCTGGCACCTGCACTCAATTCCAGCCTCCATTCAGCAACTGCAGGGTACAGGCTCCCCCTTTGTTCCCAGAGCCTGTGGCCTTGCATTCAGGGCCACTCAGTTTACTTGCTCTTCCTTTGTGAGGCAGGATGCAACTGGCAGGAAATCCCTCCGACGGATTTCCCTACTCTCATAATAACCAGGGCTGTTCCTGAGCATCATCTCCCTGCTGTGGAGGTGGGAGGAGGGGAGGGAGGAAGGGGGAGCTGCACCCACCCCCTTCCTTTGTTATAGGACTCATGGGGTGTGGGGGGTGAAAGCTAAGATAGGGGAATGGAATTAATCTCTTTAATTCACTAGTTTATTGTCATCTACAAATAAGTCCAGTGGCTACATGCAAATAGTGCAGGGTGAGGAAGCTGGGAGGTTGTTAGCTGTGTCTGTGGGACGCCTTCAGTCTGAGATGAGAGCAAGCCCTCCAGTGCTGAGCTCCCCCACAGCCACAAGCACCTCCCCTGTAGCTTGTAAAGGAGTTCAGGCCTGTGGCTGGGCCAGAATTTGCCTCACAGTCATTTGGTTGCTGAGGAAAAACAATTTTGTTTTCAGCAGTCAGCAAGTAGTAAAGAATTAGTGGTGTAACTAATAACAAGATGGTGCGAGCAGCGAAGAATGAGCCCCATCCTTCAGGTCACTGTTGTTTGCTTCCAAGGACCTTTGGACTTTTCTTAAAGTATTTTAGAGAGTCCAGTGTTAGAAGAATTTGATTTTTGAAAAGTTACAGAACTCCAAGTGCTAGAGACTTTTTGGTTGCATTGCTCCATCACCTGAGCCAGCCACACCATGTAGAAGGCACTCTCAAGGGGATGGACAGTTGGGAGCAAGTTCCACGCCCCAAAATGACTTTTCATTTTCGCTTCTTTAAATTCCTCCCCCCAGTGTCTATTCCTGCTGTGGGTTGTTATGCACACACACACAAAGCAAAGCTTTGTAACTGCTGTGCACCTGGGAAAGGTCGTGAGAGGGCAGGGCAGGTGTGGGCATTCACTCGACAGTTTTGGCCCTGTGCTGGTACTAAACAGATCTTTGCCAGCTCTGGGGAAATGCCATTACATAAAGGGGAGTCAGAAATGCAGTTGTTTTGGAGAGCCCACCTCAAAATTTGTAACAAGAGAGACGCTAAAGTGGAGCTATCAGTACATCTAAACAGAAAGTGCTGCTTAGCCTTAACTAGGCCCCTGGCCATTGTAATCTGGAGCTGGAGGCTGCTTGTTGGCAATCACCTCAGTATTAATCTGTCTGGTGGAATACTGAGTAGGTGACAACTGTCAAATATTTGGGCAGTGTCAGTGCTGGAGGATGCTCAAAAGACATGGACACTCATATAGCAGAAGCTACAGCCATGTTTTAGGCCCTTCAAGTGGCCTCTGGAGATGTTGAGACATAAGTTTACCACAAAGCTGTAGGTCTATCGAACTATGGTTATACCAGTTTTATTGTATGGAAGTGAAACATGGGTGCTGAGGAAGGCTGAAGAGCATGGACTGACGTTTTCGATTCTAGTCATCATCATCAACTGCTCCTTATTTAAGGCAGGACAGGATCAGAAATGGGCAGGGGTTTGGTTTTGACAGTTATCTTGGTATGGTTATGTCAGGATGGAAGAGCAACAAATTCTGAAGCACATGTACCAAGGAATGCCATGAACTGGCTGGCAATCACATGGGTGCCAAAAGCTTCAGTGGTGTGATAAGACTGCCAGTGATGGACAAACTGTGAATATCCAGCCAGACCAGAGATCAGTTTTAGTGGCGCCTGATCTGCAAGGAAGCCACCCCTACCCAGGGCTCATCCACTCTCCGAACAGCCCTATGGCATATGGCTCACCCCACACCATAAATACATGCCCCCAATACTTAGCTCCCTCTTCTCCGCCATGTTCTAGTTCTCACAAATGCGCATGCACACCTCTAAAGCTCACCATCCACCATGACTCACCCTCTGGCTTTCACACTTCCCATGGTTCACCTGCCCTCCCATACCCCTATGGCTCATCTGCCTCTCGGCTTACTCCCCATGGGTCACCTGCCCCTCCACGCCCCTCTGGCTCACCCCCCATGGTCTCAACCCCTCATCCCTATGGCTCACCCCCCTCCACATACACTAACCCCTTAGCACTGAGTTGAAGATGGTCACTGGGGTGAAGCTTGTGAACATAAGAATGGCCATACTGTGTCAGACCAAAGGTCCATCCAGACCAGTATCCTGTCTACCGACAGTGGCCAATGCCAGGTGCCCCAGAGGGAGTGAACCTAACAGGTAATGATCAAGTGATCTCTCTCCTGCCATCCATCTCCACCCTCTGACAAACAGAGGCTAGGGACATCATTCCTTACCCATCCTGGCTAATAGCCATTAATGGACTTGTGAGTGTGTATTTTTACAGCTGGGTTTCCATTGTGCTTTCCAGGGTCCTGTGCTCTGCTGCCTTCCTCCTTACTGGTCAGCTGATCTCCAGGCTGGGCTTCTTGCTCCCTCACCCCCTGGCTGCATGCTGGACCCTGATACACTGCAGCCTGGCTCCTGCCCCTGTGGGAAAGCTGGGGAACAAGAGGCGGCTGTGGGTAGTTCCCAGCCAGGCAGGGACACACAAACCACAGTGTTAGTCATCTGGTGCAGCACCAAGGGGGATGTGGGAGAGAAATGCTGCATTCTAAGACATCTTGGCAAAATGTATTAGTCCACAGCTATGGAATCATAGAGCCCATGAACTCTGATTGAGAAGAACAGGGCAAGTCTCACCTCTCCAAGCTGTACTTTCAGTCTCTCTGAAGACTCAGGCAGGCATTACTGTATCAGTTACACTTAGTCACATTTATGAGGTTTTTGTCACAACCATAAAGGCTAAAAACATTTTTATTTTAAATAAAATTGAAGATTCTGGAGCCTGATCCTGCGGCTGTGTGGTGAATTCTGCAGCTGGGGTCTTGTCTGTGAGCACAGGGTTGCTGAATTTGGGTCTCAGAATGAAATTTGTGTGTGACTGAGTGAGTTCTGTTCATTTTTTCTCTAGCACAATCCATTCTGCCCTACCCAGATTGGGAGGAAAGGGCCTCGTGGCTTATGACCTCTGCAAGAGTGTCGCTGCCTGTCAGACACCCAGGTTGCTCCAGTAACTGCAGCATCTACTGCACTTGCCATAGGGTTTGTTGCACAATTTTCATGTCCTCCTGCTCCCAGAAGTGAAAGCCCAGGACCAGCTGGGATGTAGGGCAGATTACAGTATGGTAAATGCTCTCCTAAGTTACCTTCCCATGTCCTTGAAAGAGGAATGCTGGGCCTGAGGCAAATGGATTGGAGGTGGGAACAGGCCTTGAGCAAATGGCAGGGCCAGACCATGAGCAGGGAGGAGGGGCCCAGGTCATGGGTGGAGAGATGGGGCTGGGAGATAGGCCATAGTCAGAAAGGAGACAGGTGGTGAATGGGAAAGTGGGACCTGTAGCTGGGCCATGGGTGGAGAGGAAGGGCTGGGCCATGGGTGGAGAGGAAGGGCTGGGCCATGGGTGGAGAGGGAGAGATGGGCTATGGGCAGGGCAGGTGGGTCCAGATGCCAGGCTGTCAGTGGGGACTGGGAGGTGGGACCAGACACTAGGATGTGGCTGGGGAATTGGGGCAGGGAGATGAGCTGTGGGCAGAAGTGCAGAAAGACTGGGCTGTGGGCATGGAGGGGTGGCTGGGTGTTGGGCTATGGGCATGGAGGTGTGGCTGGGCACTGGACCATGGGGTTAGAGGTGGAGCTGGTGCCAGGCTGTGGGTGGGAAGGCAAGGCTGGGTGCTAGGCTATTAGTGTGCAGAGAGATGGGCCTGGTGGCAGAGCAAGGGCAGGGAAGCAGAGCTGGGATATAGGGGGTGGAGAAAGGGAACTCCTTTGGCAGGGACCAAGAGATGGAAGGGGATTTGGGGGAGGTGCAGTCAGACAAGGGAAGTAGGAGGGCAGATGCATCTATGACAATCTCTATTCAGGTGTGGTTCATGCTGGAACTGTTCACCAACATCATCAGTCGCTATTTTTGTGTGCAAAGAGCAGTGGTTCTGTTCACGTGTCTGCTGCAGCCGTCAGCCTTCCCACATGACCTACACAGCAGGAGCATCCCCATCAACCCCAAAGGGCTTGCTGCATGCAGACAGCTGCTGCAGGAGCCCCGAGGCCGTTGTTACATGGGCCTGTGCTTTCTGGGATAAGATCATTTCAAATAGGGTGCTCATCTCAGAGAGGAAAGTGCTGGCCAGTCTCGTCCTGGCTGTGTTTGGGTCAGATCCAGTAACTTTGCCAAATGTCTCAAAGGTTCTTGGTTTATCCCGCCCTGCATCTTCTTGGTCCTGAGAAGAGTGCAGAGAATCAGGAGAGAAAACATTGTCCTTGTAGCTGCTGGTGAGGGACAGGGAGAGCCGAGCCATCCATGCAGGGTCTGCCGTCAGCCTCTCCAGGGCCAGCCCTGCAGGGAGCAACACACCAAAAAGAAACAGATGGTGAGAGCTGGGGCTGAGCAGTCCAAGGGAGAAGAAATTAAAGACTGAGGAAAGTGCCCTGGACCAGCTGGGAGAAAGCTGGGGGTGGAGGAGAGGGAGCATTCCTGACTCCAGGCTTTCAAACCTTGTGAGTCAGCCAGCCCCAAAATCATGAAAGTGGCTTTAAAGTAATGAGATTTTAAAATAAAACAAATGTGGAGCCTCTTTGCCTTGGTAGTTTGGAGTTTTTAGTGATCACATTTTGGACTTTATTTCAGAACCACAAGGGCCGAGGAGCATTTATTCAATTAGAGGTGAGATTCTGGTGTCATCACATGGCTCCAGCATCTGGGATCTTTAAGGAAAACACCAAATAGCATGAGAGTCACTCTAAAATGGCAGGAGGTGGCATCACTGTAGTAACTGTGTGATTACCACACAGCTCTTTTACAGTCAGCAGTCCCCTAGAAAAGTTCTTTCTAAAAGGGTGGCTCAGTTTCATCCACTTAGCCAGGCTGCCTGTTAAAAAGAAACAGCCAAATCTCTGTGTTTGGCTACGTTGGCTGTGTTCTCATGTGTGATGTGCCCCCAACCAGTGGCTGGTCCACACTGATAGCAGCCTACTCTTGCTGCCAGCAAAGTTGTCAAAGGTGGAGGATGGAGCTCTAGAGTTCAAACCCTGGTAAAGGCACAGGACAGGAAAAGAGTCAATGGAGATAGCCAGAGTTTGGAGTCACAGGAGGATAGAGGATGATTGACAGAAGACTGCAAGTAAGAGCAAAGGATGAGAGGACTTGCAGCCAGAAAGAACTGGAGGAGGAAGGCCAGAGAATTGCACCAACACCAGGAAGACACAGGTCTATGTGACTGGGGACTCCCTACTAAGAAAAACAGGCCTGTTACCATAGCTGATTTAGGGAACAGAAGGGTGTGCTGTATGCTGGGAGCTAAGATATGGGATGTGGTCCCGAGGCGAGGCTGAAGAGGATCCTAATGAAAGCAGGAAAGAATCCACTGACTGTCGTTCACACCCTTCACACTATTGTCATAATCTTTTTGTACAAACTATGCCCTGTAAAGTATCATTTGAAAACTTATAATTTGCTGGTCAGGATTATGTTGAAAAATGTGTGGTAACACTGTATGTGAAGTTATAAGATTCCCCTGTATGATGTTATTAATGTGTTACAACTCCCACAGCCCTGCCCAGGCAGAAGTGAGGTCTGTCCTAAACAAAGGAAGTAATGTGTGCTTGCCTTGCTTTTAATTTAAGCAATAAGCAAAGTCATCAAGCAGGGAGAGAAACAAACGAAGTTTCAACAGGTGGGAAAAAAAACAGCAGAGAGTATCCTGCCACATAGACTCTTTGTCTCCTTGGTCTCAGCCAGAAATGTTTTTCAAGAGGGCGACTGACATTATGAAAAGGAGAGACAAACAGCCCAAGACACCCCCCTTTCTCTCTCTTCCTGCCCATTACATTCTCTGCACATGAGACGACAAAAGGGAAACAGCTGTTGGACTCTGGGAGAGGGGTCCTGACCTGAGAGTTTCGCCAGTAATCTACTGGAGCATGAGCTGAAAAAGTGTGCTTTGCAACTGAGAGAGTTTCTTAAGTAGATATTAGTAAGTGTTTTGTCTCTATTTTTCTTATAACCATTTCTGGCTTTTATACATTATTGTTTATAGACACTTAAAATCTCTCTTTGTAATTAATAAACTTGTTTTACCATTTTATTTAATCCATTGAGTTTTTTAGTGTCTGGGCAACTATTTAATGTAATAAGATGGTATAATATTACCTTAAAACACTAGTCACCAACCAGTTAATCACGATCTCCGGCAGTGCAGTGTGGCTGCCACTAAGGCCAGTATGGCCCCAGGGGCGGGGGGGACAGGGGTCTCCCTCCATGTGCTGCTCCTTCCTGCAAGGACTGCCCCCGCAGCTTTCCTGGCCAATGGGAGCTGTGGGGGTGGTGCTTCCAGTGGCTGCAAGGGTACGTTGGCCCCTTCTGGGAGCAGTATGGGGCCAGGGTAGGCAGGGAGCCTGCCTTAGCCTCACTGTGCCCACCACCAACCAGGAGCCACTGGAGATAAGCACTGCCCAGTGGGAGGTCACACCCCAGCCCTGAGCCCCCTCCTGTACCCCAAGCCCCAGGCTTGATGCCCCCCCAGAGCCAGCACCCTATGCCTCCTCCTGCACCCCAACATTCTGCCCCAGCCCTGACCCCCCTCCCAGAGCCAGCACCCTGTACCCCTTCTCTGCCCTAGCCCAAAGCCACCTCCTGCACCCAAACTCCCAGAGCCTGCACCCAAACACTCTGCTCCATCCCAGAGCTCCCTCCTGCAATCAGACTCCTTCCTAGTGCTTGCACCCCTCGTGCTCTCTTGCACCCCAACCTCCTGCCCTAGGCTCAGCTCAGAGCCCCCTCCCACACTGCAACCCCCAGCCCAGAGCCCTCTCCCGAACCCCAACTCCCTACACCAGCCTGGTGAAAGTGAGTGAGGGTGGGGGAGAGCGAGTGATGGAGAGAGGGGAGGATGGAGTGAGTGGAGCGGGGCCTCGGGGAAAGGGTGGGGTAGATCCTGGGTTGTCCTTAGATTCAAAAAGTGATCTTGGGCGTTAAAAGGTTGGAGACCACTGCCTTAAAAGAATAATGGACTTAATATATTTATGCTTTCCAGGAGAGGGCTAAGCAATACAGGACACATATTTCTGGGGGGGTAATCCAGGACTTGGGGTGTGCTAGGGTCACCCTGCAGTATAACTGAGACTGGTGAGAACCAGAATGTGGCTGGCAGGCTGCAGTTACACACAGACACTCAAGGTTTTTGACTTGCCTGCTGGAAGGCTGTTCGTGAGTGGCACTGGTGAAAGCTACTACAGGTATTGTAAGGCAGCCAAGGTTGCAGGGCAGGAGTGACACAGCCCTTCATCCACCACCAGTCTGAATTGTGCCGCAGTATGTCACAATTTGGGGGAGGTGGTTGGGAGATGCTCATGTAATCTCTATGTCTGATTCTAATATTGAGTGAGCAGAAAATCAAGTAAAAGAGGATATAGCACTTGAGAGAGGAACAATAGTTGGTCGGCGAATGGACATCAAGAGGAAAGATAGTATCCTTGGTATTGGCACTAACAGTCAAGTAGGTGATATTGGTGGTAAAATGACTGTACCCAATTAGGTGAGGAATTTGGGCACAGCGAAGCAGAAACCACTAAGATGTCTGTACACCAAACCAAGGAGCCTGGGTATCAAAATGGAAGAACTAAAACTACTGGTGCAGAAAGTGAAACCCATTATTATCAGGATAACAGAAACATGGTGGAATATGGTCATGACTGGAGTACAGGTATTTGAAGAATGTGGGCTGTTCAGGAAAAACAGAAATAAAGGCAAAAGTGACGGAGTCGCATTGTGTATTAGTGATGAGGTCGACTGTA